GCGGCGGGACGGGGCGGAGGGGCGAGAGGCGTGTGTACAGGCACGTCGATGCTAATTGGGGTACGTATGCGCGTCACGGTGCCTTGTCAGATGCCGCTACGTTTATCGATCGATGTACCGATTGCACACAGGCCAGACGGTGGAGATTACGCGTTTCGTGGTGCGGGACCTCCTGCCGGACACGAAATATTACATGACGTACGACGGCTCCACTACGATGCCGCCCTGCCACGAGACCACCACGTGGATCATCCTGAACAAGCCGATATACATCACGAAGCAGCAGGTGAGAATCGGGTTCACGGTAACACGGGCCGATCCGGGCGCGCACGCCACCCGGACACGGGTCCCCATCGGAGGTACGCGCGTTGAATATCAATCAGCGTGCTCCGCTCGTGATTTTTGCTCCCGCTCTCCTCCGTCGCGCTGCGGCGAGGCTCGGTTGGCCGAGCTCGAGGAGATCTGGGGCAGGCTGGATTAAGGTCTTTTCTTAAGCTCTGTTTTCTTGGGGAACGTAGTCCGAAGAGCTTCCGGTGTGTGCATTAATGATCGAAGTTGGATCGTTGGATCTTCGGGATTGTTGGTGTTTCTCTGATTTTAAGGACTGCTTCCTTCGGCGCTTCGGGTTCGACATTTTCCTGCGCGAATCGGATTTCGGTTTTGTTCAGGGGGAAGGGACGAGAGGTTTCGTTCGCGATTCTATGGGATTTGAATTCTTATTAGAATATCTTCGGTAGATCTATATCTCGTTGATTAGAGAAACGAGGCGAAAATGTTCTAACATTAGAATTCTAAAGGCGAAACTTCGGAAAGCTATAGGGAATCAACACAGGTGATTCTATGGGATTCGAATTCTTATTAGAATATCTTCGGTAGATCTATATATCGTTGATTAAGGGAAACGAGGCGAAAATGTTCCGACATTGCAATTCTAAACGCGAAACCTGGAACAAGCTATAGGGAATCAAAACAGGCGATTCTATGGATTTGAATTCTTATTAGAATATCTCCTGTAGATCTATATCTTGTTGATTAAGAGAAACGAGGTGAAAATGTTTTAACATTAGAATTCTAAACGCGAGACCTAGAACAAGCTTCAGGGAATCAAAACAGGCGATTCCATGGAGCAGTAATTCGCTGGTTGAGAGAAGCTAAGCAGCAATGTCCGTAGAATTCCATTCATTAATTCCGAACGTACCGAAACCACCGGCGCACAAAAGGAGCATCGATCTCGTCGGACTCTCGCGGCGGATATCCATAAAGCTCGAAATCCCGCGGCGATAACCGGCCGTTGTTATGGATAAAACGCAAAGTATCCGGGAACAGGCGATATTCGATTCCGCAGGGGTCGAGCGCGCCGCTCCCCTCAGCCGAAAGGACGCGAGCCAGATTTTCGCGGCCGATATCGCGCCTCCAGGGTTGACCTTATTCGGCGGGGATCGAAGGAGCGGTTTTCCACCCCTGCCCTCCCTCTTCCTGATCGTTTCAGGGTCTAGAACTTCATTCCGTTCCCATCGGCGTCGTATCACGGGTCGGCGCGCGCGCCGCGAGCCGCACGGCGACTTGAAGGATCGCGCCGGCTCACGCACGAAAGTAGTTTCTGATGTTCTTTTAACGATTTCGCGTGGCCACGGACGAGCGTAATTCGCGCGGCCGCCCTCCGAGCTCCCCCCTCGACCCCCATTCCGACCGCGAGAGATCCACGGACAAAGGAAATTGGTTTACGTGGCTCCTTTATCTATCCGGGATTACGCTTTGACGACTTAATGCGATTTTTTCACTCGGAACAAACGACCCGGCCGAGCCGCGGCATTGTCGGACGATGAAAGGGTTAATTAATTAAGCCAGCCGAGTGGCGCTTGATACACTCGCTGCAGTAATAACTCCACGATGATTGAATTTATTCCGATCCGACGAGGAGAGCGCTCGAACGTTCGGGCTCGCGTGGTAATGGTCACTCCGCGCGATGTTTGAGCTGGATATCGAAAAATATGTAGGCGAACGGCCGCGGGTATCTGGGATTACGAATTACGGTCGACCGAGGGATGTTTGAGGGTGTTTGGAGTATGTTTGACATGGGAGAACGACGATTGCATGGGAATATTGATAAAGGCATTGAAGAGTCCGTTAAGGAATGAAGATTGTCAAAGGGATCAAGCGTGTTTGTAATAGTGGATCGGTGCATCGGGGAATATCGGTAATATTTGGAGGGATTGCTATCGGGGAATATTTGGAAGGATAAATCGAGCGGCGCGAGGAATAATTTTTCATTTCCGGGTAATTAGAACGAATACGCGCGGTCAGCTTCGAGCCAGTGAAATTGAATGCGACATGAAAAATTGCCGGACGGGGTAAACAATGATTCCGTCGGGGGGATAACGGAATAACCGAGACGAATCGTTCGTCGCGAATTAACGCGCGATTATTTGTAGATTAATTTGAATTTCACGGTGTGATTAATTATTTTGCTGGGTCCGCGACGCCGTTCGGGCCTGATGAAATTGATCGAATTAACGAGAATTCAGCTCTCTAACCATTCGTTTCGCGGTATACCGAAGATTTCAAATAGAATTGAACAAACACGAATGTCACTTTCTTTCAAGTTCAAATTAAACGTTTTACTATTATCAATTATACGGTGTTTAGAACAGTCGATCGTACGTATCTTCACGTACCATCCAAGAATCCCAATAGTTTATTGATACCTGCGATCATCGCAACAATGACAGATGCAGAATAAAAAAGCATAGTATCAAATCACTTAATCGAATCTTTCGCTTTATATTTCCCGTCCCGCCAAGCTTCGCTGCATTAGCATTGTGCGACACAAAAGCAGCAAATAATCATAGTTGAATTAACCGGATTACAGTAATTCAGTAAAATTACGGGTCACCGGTGACCCGCGCGGCATTCAACGTGTTAATCTAGGTCCCACTGTGTTTTAATAATACGCGGCCGGCGGAGGTCGGGGCCGGCACGCGTTCGCGAAAAAACCGGAGCAAACAATGGCGGAGAATTCAATAACGGAGTCCATTGACTTCCGACGGAAGTATGGCGGCGCCTATTGTCAAACGTTTAAACGAT